CTGGGCCAGCGGGAAGATTGTCTCCATCCTGGCCCATCTGTGAGATCAAACTTTTGATCTGTCACAAATTTGGCGGGTGCTCTTGGTGCCTGTCAAGTTTCCGAGCTGAATGTCCAGCATCTACTCAGCGAATTGGAGGTGGGGAATGGCGCAAGCAAAGCCGCACATGGTCTGGTTTGGAGAGGCCGAGGTGATGAGTAACCTCGTCGCTCGCTCAGCATGGGTGAAAGCCGGTCGCCTGCAACGGATTAGCTGCCAAGCGCCATATGCAAGCCCTCCTCTCCTCACCTTCTCGCGAATGACAAACGTCCGCGGACCAGGAGCACCGGCATAGAGCGAAGGCCACATGAGCAACAAGGGTGCAAGTCTTGCTGGCACGCGACAGCTAAAGTCTACCAGGCAGTGAGTACTCCGTATTGTCTGTATCGCCAGGGGATGTCTTCGCCTCCGATCCAATGGTCTAGCTCGTGGTGGGTTTACTGCTTTTCGAATTACACTCCCCTCCATGTCGTGCGCGTGGTGACCGGAGCGAGGGTCTAGGCGGGTAGATCCACATCGATGGTGAATCGAGGCATTGTGAAGGGTATCGAATGAGATTCTGCTAGATCTGCATAAGCCTGAGATGCGGAAAGAGGGTGTTGGGAATGGGAATTTGACAGGTTTCGCTATCGTTTTGGACCGTGAATTTGACCCAGCTATCCGTACCATTCCGTACCATTCCTCCTTTGTTTGTGGCAACTTCCAAGTGGCTGGAATGGGCGATCAAGGTGCGGTCGGGGGATGCGACGGCGAGAAAGGGGCGACGACCCTGCACGAAGGGTCCTTGTGTGCTCCCGATCCACGCCAGCGATGCGGCTCGCGAAGGTCGGGGACGCAAAGCTTATTCCACAGTCGATTGTTGGCGCAACTGATTGGCTATGTTTTTCCGGGCCGCGCCGGCGAAGCAGAGGTATTCAGAAGTTGGTGTCCCGGTGCTCAAGACGGAGCTGCCGGAGTGGATCGCTCCGTGTCTGGCCCGTCCTTGCAGTGCTTTTCCCGTTGACGATGCCCGGATGCGCCGATTGACCGCCGGCAGCAGACGACTGTCTTACAACTCTGGGAGAATGCTGATGTCTCTCCATCGGCACTTTGGGACACAACGACTGGGGGGCCGACTGACGTCATACCGTTGCAAAAACCGAGGACAGGCGAGGGGTTTCTGGAAAAGAAGAATCAGGGTTGCATGTTGCAATGCCAGTCTGCCTTGATTTCCATCATAATCGTGGGTCGTGGGAATACTGCAGGTGGGCTTCTCTGATCGTCGGACCCTGAAAAAGAGACGCAGCGGCATCCTGCGCCGTAGACAGGCGTGCCTGGCTGACATCTGCGGAGCCCCGTGTCCGAAATTGCGAATGATCTTCGAATACATCTGGAAATCTGGCCAGACCAGTCGTGAGCGGCGGTGGCGACTTGCAGCCATGGACAGCTGAACAGCGAGCTACCATAAGAGAGAGTCATGTCAGCAAGAGTGTCACAGTGCAGTGTTGAGCTGTCCTTGTCCTTGGACCACCTCAGAGGCTCAAATGAGGGCGTGATGCGTGCTGCGTGCTGCGTGAAGCAGTCAGGGGTGACGTGCCCTTGGGCAGGGTTGCCCTGCAGCATGGCTCGGGAATGACGGAAGGGAATAGCGCGAACAGCCAATGGAAAGCCATCAAGTAGTGGGTACGGACACACTTCCGAATACTTTTGATTGGCCAGAGCGATTACACCTCCGAACCTGGCCCAACGGGCAACTGGACGTGGAGGGTACCCACTATCCGTACAGTGCCTCAGTACCTAGAGTTTGAGAGGTCTTGGGGGGGGGGGGGAGGGGGTGTTCCAAGGAAAATTGAAGAAGAGAATAGAACTTGCAGAATTGACAACTGATGATCGTGTCCGACATCTCTTTTCGGAATGAATACGGCCTGTCGATAGCGGTGAGCTGATCCTGATGAGACAGGCCAATGTATTTTCGTTTGAACATCGAGTTTGCATGGTGGTTGGCTGTTCCAAACCATGCATGGCCGTGTGGTTATAGGTAGTGTAGGTATGCGTGCGCATCTATTCCTATGCTAGACAAAACTGCGTCGCAAGGTATGTTTGATGGGTTGAAGCTGCTTCCGTTGAAGAACACTGTGAATCGGCGATGAAGAATCGCAGGGAGGGTATGCATTCGCGCCATGATGAAAAAATTGAGCCGAGATTTTGAATTTGGGTAAAGTAGCTGGAATTTTGGAGAGAGGAAAACGGTCAGATAATACGTTAGGTCGGCATGGTCGGGCTGGATCACCAGGGCGTACATTGTGTCGATGACACGGCAAAAGCAAGATCGCGGGCTCATGATAATGCGGACTCCCCTTGACATGACTGGTCGTCTTGCGGCCCGTGTGCTGCATGAGTATTGGCTGCCGCAGCTCGCTCTCGAACTCGTGGATTTTACTTGGACGAATGAGGACGAGCTTCTGCAATATTCGAATGGATCATATTGGCCCTTTGTTGCTGTGTTGTTCCCGACTTGTTCGTGTTGTCCAAGATGGACGCCGACCGCGATAAAGAACAGGCCCTCGATCGCGCTGTCCCCTTTTCCAAAGCGCGAAATGTCTTTTGGTCGAAACAACCTTGGAGCTTGTTTGAAGGGTCTTTGAATGGGTAATCAATCAATGCATCTATGCCAGTAGTCTTCAGTCGGACAATTCTGCTCGATTTGCCATTTGGGTTGATACATAGAATGTAAGTCCAAGGTTATGGATCGCACTTGTCCCTCAGGCATAGAGAGACGCGCCCAATGTGAGGTATGGCGTGACGTAAGCAAGGCCGCCTCAATCCGTATTGGCTTAAAAAAAAAAAAAAAGAAAGAAAGTGGCATGGGAGCAGGGGGGATGAATGTCACTCGTTGCTGCCTCGGACATGAGCATGGCCTGTCACTCGCTGCTCTGTGTTCGGTCCCGGTCGTAGTGTAACCGTAGAAGCTCCATGAAATTTCTATGGGGCGTGGGTGTGCAACTGTGCACGGATGGCTGCAACCGCTGTCGGAATAACCTAGCAGGCCTAGGTACCTTGGAACCTTGGGTGGGAGAAGAAAGAGCCTTCACTGTGGGAATGCTAGTCGCATCATGTCTACTGACAACCTACGTCGCCGCAATTGCAGAAGAGACTCAAGGATATCCGTACCGAAAACACGATTAGGGTCTCGATCTGCGGTTCGAATACCAGTGAAGCGATTGTGAAGATGCAGTTGGTGCTATTGGAGCTCATTCTATCTTATTCCTATCTAAGAAGCAATGTACCCAAGGTATCCGCAGACACGCGGCAAAGAGCTGGGCTTGAATGTTGAAAGAACCTAACGCGCAACGGCCGGGACCTTACTGCGTGCCTTATTACCCCGTAGCTGTGGTATCAAACGCAAGGTAGGGAGGTACCTGCCACCGCCTTCAAACCAAGGGTCTTGACAGGGGGCCAGGCACGACCAGCGTTCTGTCTGGTAATGTACCCAGGCAACGAGGAGAGAACCAAGGCAGAGAAAATGCTTTTTCTGCTGTCCCATTTTTATCTTTTTTTCTTTTCTTCTGGCTGCCTGCATTGAGTAGCGATTGCCACCCAAATTGAAGATGCACATGATCATCCACGTGACTGGGGTGGCGCCCGATGTGTGTACAAGGTGAAGGCTGAAGGCCCTCAGACTAATGCAGAGAAAGGAATGAAGCGCCGGCGGCAGTCTGAATTCTGGAGGGGGGCACAGGCGACACCACCATCGAAAGTTGCTCAAAGGCCTAGGTGCGTCCATCGCCCTTTCCAGCCCTGCGATGGCCTGCCACTATTGTCTAGATTGTGTCTGGACTCTGCGGGCAGTGTAGGCAGAGTCGGGGGCCGGCACACACACCACAACCATACACCCACTGAGACGACACCAGTGACCAGCGCCCAGGGCAGCAGAGGATAACGGAGGGCAGCAGAGCAACTGTCCTAGGGTCCTGTCATAATATCACCCCCCCCCCCCCCCTCCCAAAAAGACGCTGGGCAGCCACACCCTTTTTTGAACCAGCGCCCCACTTGCCTTTTCGATTGACTCTGATCCCGAGAACCCTGTCAGGTCCTGGAGATCAGACCAAGCAGCTTGCGAGCTGATGTGGGTCCATACCTTGTCCGCCCCGCACTGCCCAACCAGTGACCCAAGCGGCGCGAACGTGCCCTCACCCCATACATTTTGGCTCTTATCCTGGCGGCGGACATGTTTTTCTTCCTCAAGCCCTGGGCTCTGTGTAACCTGCCCTGCGAACAAGAGATTCTTGGCCTTGCTGCGAAACGAATCGTCTTCTTGAGTTTATTTTCTACGAGAGCATTGTCCGTCGAGGAAGAACGCTGCGGCCTTTGGTGGCAAGAAAGGTCACGAGAGCGGGCTGCTCCTCTCTTTTACCATCGACACTAACAACAGCACTTACTCCTCTCTTCAACTCTCACTCAGAGCTCCTCAGCTTTCGCGCACATCGCGTATCTACTGCGCGGCGGAAAGACAAACGGGCTGTGGAAACACACTGGTCCTCAGGATTGAAATCGGCCGCAGTCTTACACTGTGCGTGTTTCTCCTGTAAACGTGAGTGCTACCCTCTCACCGTGTCGGCTTCTGACGGAGGTTGTCGTCATACCTTTTTCCCAGTATTCGATCGATCGATCGATGCCTCGACCAATCACAGCCCGCCTGCCCACTCGACATATACACTCTCGTACCTACACAATTTCAGGGTCCTACACTTGAGCAGACGTCCAATACTAATCCACCGCCTACAAGCAGTAACTCTCTCGAAACTCAGCATCAACATCCCCCATCATCCACTTCATCGAAGTGGACACTACCGACCGACAAAACGGCCTGCACAACGACAACCAGAACGCCGACTCCATGTCGTATTCGAAATACTTCGCATAGCAACGCAAGCACCGACGCAGAATCTGCCAATTCAGCTAGGTGTCTTGACGTGCCCAAGATGACCGACGCCCAGCCTACATCTCAAGGCGGGCGCCAACCGACGTCGCCGAATGGACACCCGCTACCACGCCGAAGTTCGCCTGAGCACTCAATCACACTGCGCAACCACCGATTAGCACACGAAGCAACTGAGAAAGCCGCATTAACACAAGCCTTGGCCGCTGCCAGCCCGGGATCGTCCTCGTCGCCAAACCGACAGTCCTCCGGCGAGAGCCACAACACCGGTCCTAGCGATCCCGAGAAATGGTTCGATCAAAACAATGAGAATCCCACGACAACGTACGCTGGCGCAATGGACGGTAAGAGCCTTTGAGCCACCGTTTCGGGAGAAGGTCTAATATCAGATTCAGTCGATCCCCCGTTCTTCCAGAAAGAGAGCGACTCCTCCAACGACGATACGAAACCCTCGGCTTACCCGACGCATCTGAGACCACCGATGGACGGATTGATGACTGGGGTCAACAAGCCGAGCGCCACTCACAGCAGTAGCGCCGACGACTATCGAAGCGTAATTGACGATTTGACGGTTGAAATCAAGAGGCTGAGGGATGAGTTGAAGCGATATAAGCAAAAAGGACCGGAGTTGATGAAAAGGGATAAGCTGTTCGAGATCAAGGTCCACGGGCTTCCCAAGCGGAAGAAGAGAGAATTGGAGAGTACTTTGCGCGAGTTCGCATCTGGTCTGGAAAGCAGCACCCCAAGCGCCGAAGCTTCGTCGTCTCGAAAGAAATCGAGGCACAACGCTCATTTGCACTCAGGTTCTGGTTATGCGTCGAAGCATGCATCGTCTTCTTCAGGCTCTCACTCGAGGCCGGTTGACAGTGCCTATGCCTCGATGTCAACTGGAGCAAACTCATCTGGCACACATCTCGCCCGGCCATCCATCAGCTCCAGAACGAAGTCATCGGAGCAAAAGGTGGAGAACTACCTCAAGGACATCCCAGAGGGACTGTACCCGCGACACATGATTTTGACGGAAAAGGACAGAAAGAAGTTGATTGTTCGTCGCCTGGAACAGATTTTCACGGGTAGAATTAGCGGACGTAATCTCGCTCGACCTCAGCCCAAGTCCGCAGCAAATATCGCCTCATACGCCCCGATCATGGTGGAGCCGACAACCGGCAACACCACCACTCACCACGGGCCCTCTAATGTACCCGCCGGTTACTTCGAGCCGTCCCGCGAGGCCCCCATACTTGCATCAGATGGGAAGAAGAATATCACCAAAGATGTCGAATCATCAAATTCCAACGGCGATCAACGGGATTCCAGTGGCAACTGGACAACCGCGGCAGATGTAAGCAGCACTTCACCGCAGGATCCTCCGCCGCCAGAGCAACGTCCCACCAGACCGCTCGACCTTGATCCGGACCGCATGCAAAATCCGACCGCCAACATGGACTATATCCGTCACTTGGGTCTCGCTCCTCCCCATTTAACGGCCTTAATGACTGATGGCGATGTGTCCCCGGATGCTGATGGGTGGGTCTATTTGAACTTGCTCTGCAGTATGGCTCAACTGCACATGCTCAACGTTGCTCCCGATTACATCAGGAGTGCAGTGTCCGAGAAGAGCACGAAATTTCAACTTTCACACGACGGTCGCAAAATCAGATGGCGCGGTGGTACCGAAGGAACCAAATTTAGCAGCGACAGCTCAGGTAATACCTCTCAGCTCAGTCGCTCCGACGAGTCCGACGAGGCACAACCAGACAGCCAGAGCAAGAAGCGCAAACAACGCTCGGGGAAGAATGGTTCTTACTCCACTTCATACGGAAAGAACTCATCCAACCAGTCGAAACCGGAGTATCCAATTCCATCGGCGGACACTTTCCACTACAAGCCAATGTTCGTGCACCAATCGTCATCTGCCGAACAGACTTCATTAGATGATGTTGGCTCATCATACGGAGCTGAAGATAGCAACAACGGAGAGTCGCGATGGGATGGATCGGGATCCTCGCGCTGCAAGAAGCGTCGTTTGGATGGTGCCATCATTTACTACAGCGGTGCTCCATTCTGTACCGATCTCTCTGGCGATCCTGGTGATGCGTCCCCTGCATCATACATGACCTCATCTGGTCAGGACCAACAATTGTCTTCCAGCGATGGGTTTCTCAGACCTGATCTTCCTCGCCGCACTGAATCAGGTTCGGCGCTTCCATACCGGCCGCTCGTTGAAGGCCGCAAGGCCCCAAGTGTGGCAGTCACAACGGAAAATGGCTCAGATGAGAGTGATGGTAGCATCGAGGCTGATTTCCCCTGGTCCAACATTCCTCAAGACGCTGTGAGCAGCAAGCTAGACGCTTGCGGTCTGGGTGGTGTCATTCCCGATGACCACTTTATTGTGGTCGCCACCACGAAGAGGCCAAAGGTGGATGTGAAGCAAGAAACGACGATCAGCTTACAGTCTGAGGAGTTTTCCAAGTTAATGAGCAGAATTACATCGCCGTTGGGTTCTTGCGGGTCCCAGGGAAGATCAGCAAAGTCCGAGTCTCGCAAGAAATCACCGATCAACATCGAATACACGTCTAGGTCCGTTCGGAAGCTTAACCCTACGCCTCTGCCGCCGCCGGGTCTTTACTTCGCTTTCGACAGCGACAGCTCCGACAACTCCGATGATGACGATGACGAGTCCAATGTGGACGATGATTCAAAGGTAGGGGGCGTTGTACAAGCTCACGCCCCTACTTTTGACAGACAATATCCTGACGATGTACAGATGTCGAGCGGCGACGAGGGTGATATCGAGCCAGAAAATGGAGATGAGATAGCAGGCGTTGTGGAAGACGAGGAGAGTGGAGCCGATTTCAAGGTCCCAATCCCCCCTCGCGATCTCCGTCGTACCAGCAGCAGCAGTGCTGTTGCGGCCGCGGGAACTGCCCGAGGTCGCAGCAACAGTGCTGAACTCCCAGTTGCCGCCGGCAGTTCAGCCGCCACTGCAGGTGGAGCGGAAAGTGGCTACAGCAGTGGCCGCGAGGAGAGCGGTTCAAGTTGAAGGAAAATGTGTTTGAGTGGGTTGAGCAGGATGGGCTTTCTTTGAGAAGCTCACAAGGCGAATTACTGTGAGAGTTGCATTGCATGGCGCTTGGTTCGTTGGGATAGATTGGCACAAGATATCCCGCATCATTGGAAACCGTTATTTCATCCTACGTCAGTGGAGGTTTTTTGAAAAACAGCGAGAATAACCAGTAGCGAGCAACTTCGAGGCGTTTTCTCTTCAGCGATTTAGTTAGGATACCAACTCAAAAGATACCCGAATCTACTTGAACCTCGCGCCTCGCTTCATTGATTATTCGGGTGACCGGCTCGAGTTCGAACCAAGTTCGTGTCCGGTCCGTGAGTGATTCAGTCAAGGGCTAATTAAATCACCCCACAGGATGTAGTCCTTCGAAGTGAGGCTACGCTAATCAATACATTCCCCTAGGGTCCTTTCTACTTGTACATCTGTCAACTTCCCACTCAGTGTCCGGTACCTTTCGCCCATTGGCGATCGGCCTTGCCCCGGATGATACCGGTTGAACCCCCAATGCAGTTCGAGGTTCCAGACCTCCCCGCCCGGTAAGATGGGCACAGGACTCCTCCCTAGGACTTGGGGAATGAGGACTCTTTGGGGCTCGGCTCGGTGTGTTTCCCCCAGTGTGCGAAAAGTGCATTTATATAAGGTGGGATAATGGATGGGTCTGCTGAGCGTCGATCCTGTTCAATGGGATGGGCCTGGGTTTCGTCATGCGGTGTAACCCCCCCGACACAGCCTACATACAGCCTTTTTCACATCTGCGCAGTAATGGTATGATGGAGCGCGAACCGCGGACCTAGAGGGAGGGAGAGAGGGAGGGACCTAAAGGTGACAGGCAGCGAGAGTTTGAAGACTCTTCGGGTGTATGCTTCTTAGGGGGGGCTGTGTGGTTTGGAAGGAATACAGATTACAGCACAATGCCTCCGCTGATGACTCTTCCCTTTCCCGGATCCCCCCCCCCAGAACAGCGCGTCCTGCTACACCTGGGATGCTATATTTTCTAACTCGCCCTCCTCATACCTAAGTATTTTGAAAAAGAGTTATCTCGATAGCGATTACCAAACCCTTCCCTACCTTGTCTGTCTTGTCTTACGAAACGGGCAACGGACAAGACCAAGTTTGTTTATCATGACACACGTCGCACAGAACGTCACCAGTCGGTACCTGAAGAAGGCTAGCCTCCAACAGCTCCTCGAGAAGATTTTCCCGGGGCATACTGATTTTGAGATTGAAGTATGCCTTGCCCCTTTGCCGCGTGATACACCCCGATTGGAGATTTGAAATTGACAGAGGCTGTTTTTTTCTTTCTACAGATGAGAGATGATGTTTGGCATTTCAAGGCGCCGAAGGAAGTTGATGCCGTATGTCTCTTTTTTTTCTTTCTTTTTTTCCCGCTCAAAAGCCCCAGTTGTGTGCATGGGCTTCGATTGCTGATGTGGAATACAGGATACAATAGAGTAAAAGAAAAACTTTGCAGAATCAAAACTCGATTTTCGAAGAAGCCACGCTGACGAGAGTTGATAGTGCGGTGCGAGATCAATGACTTTTTTCCGTTGGGGGAGGCGGGGAGGGGAAGGGAAGGGGGAGGGGGAGGGGGTTGTCTAGAGGATGGGCAGTGCAAGTATGGTGACATAACAACAGGCGTCAGCATTGGCTGGAACTCAGGAGGAACGGGTAGGCAGGCAGGCGGCTGATCGCACCTTGGGGTAAGATAGATGACTCTCATAGCCTTACATTGGAATCAGATCAAAGTACATAATAAGCCACAGAAAGCTACAGACTGCCAAGAGTCTTTCCTTACATACTTACCTCAGCCTTATCCGTTACATCGATGTCGTCTTGAACCTCAATGGCGCCGACGCAACAGCAGTGCTTCGTCGAAGATGTCATCGAGCCCATCAGAATCTGCAGCGTAACGCGCTTACCAGCGAAGGATGGTGATGATGATGATGATGAGAATGAGAATGAAGGGGCTACCAAAATCAAGCACCAGCAGCATGCCATTACCACCTTTGACGACTTGAGCAGAAATCTACAAGACATACAAAGCCAGAGCGGAAACCATGTCCATCATTTCATGTACGTTCATTATAAATCTTCATGGTCATTGTCGTGGGCGCCCGTTCAACCTAGGTAGCCTTATTGACTTGAGCAAAGCTCAATCTGCCAGCGCAACTCATGGAGGCCTCTACAAATCACAGCTTCCATGTTCGAGCTCATCATGGAAAAGCTCAGCTTGAATAACTCGTTACGGGATATCGTCTCGTGCTTCTATATCCGGAATATGAATGTTGAAGAGGTGTTTTGTATGCCGTATACCGAGCGACGAAAGGGATCCGTGGTCGGTACGTAACATGCTCTATTTCCAAGGACTTCGACTGAGATCCAATCCTCTCTTTGCTAGGAAACATGGAAAGGGGGAAGGGGGGCTGATGATGTAGCAGAAGCGTCGTACACGATTCGATATCCCGAGTATAAACCCGACGAGGATACGTGGGTGATTCGTCAGACGGGTGTATATCACCGCTGCGACGCGGCGTCTCGTCAAAGTCTCTTCATCATGGTCAACCCGACGCCGAATTCACAAGCTAGTAGCCGAGCCATCGAGAGGCTTTCCACCAGCAGGAACTTCGGGGTAGGCTCCGAGACCAAGACGGACGATCCCGTCTGGCTGCATCAACTCGTCTTCGAGACATACCTACCCGCGTGGAGGTTCTACATTGCCTCGATGGAGCGGCAGTTTTTACCGTTGGTAAGAGATTCCAATTCCATGCACGCCCTCCAAATCAAGTCCCACTGGTCTAATATTTTGATGCTGCAAATAGTCATATAAAACACTGATAAACTTCATCGACGAACCTACAACAATGAAACCAAGCCACCTCACAAAACTAGCCAGCCTCGCGAACCGGTTCCAGACAATCTCATCAATCTTGGAATCATCCGAGGAGACGCTGACGGAGCTATCTGCCCTATGCACCCGCCGTTTGCTGCTGCCAAAGGGGTCGGTGAAGAACGCAGACAGCGACGACGTACTGCAAGAATCAGCATCAGAGTTTGAAAACTTTCGCCGCCAGTGCAGAGCCTTCTCGCGGACGGCGACGGACCTGCACCACCGAGCGCAAACGACGTCGCAGCTGCTGGCCAACACGCTCTCCTTTCGCGAGCAGCTCGACTCCAGGAAGCAGAATGAGAATATGCTGCGGTTGAATAAGTCGGTGGTGTTTATTACTACGCTGACGCTGCTTTACTTGCCGCCTTCGTTTATAGCTGTGAGTGTTTGCTTGCCTACGTGACCACCCCCCCTCCTTCTCTCCGTCGCCCGGACGATTATCGTAGCTCGCTAAACCTTGTTACGACAGACCTTCTTTGGAATGAACTTTTTCAATATGGACACTGTGACTGGCAAGATTGTCGGCAGTCCGATGATTTGGATATATGCGCTTTGCTCTGTCCTCCTCACGACGGCGACCTTTGCGACGTATTACACGATGCGTGAAGGGAGCTACCTCAACGCCAAGGTATTGGAGATGAGAGACCTGAACTGGCGGAAGATTTGGTACCGCAAACAGCACAACGACAAGGACATCGAATTGAATAGCCTGGAAGTTTGATCAGGTGGACGGACCGGGACCTGTGGATGTGGCGTGTCTACCAGGGAGACTAATCTTAAAGACGGCGTGCCGGCTGGGCCCCAAAAGGGCAGTGACGAGGATATGCCTGTTTCCGTCGTCACCGACTATGGTGCCGGTGAAATCGTCGTTCTCAGATAAACTGGGTAGTTGAGCCAGTTCACGAACAGTCACCGGATTCCTCGTCTGGGGTATTGTAATTTCAAGCAGGCGTATCCAACCCCCATCTGATCTGATGCCCAGAGCAAAGATCTTGTCGTCATTCTGGTCGACCATGACTCGGAGGAGGCGGTACTGTTCGATGGTTTTGGGGTATCGAGATCGCCTCGTTTGTGTGTGAGATGAGTTTGCGAGTAGATCAACGGTGAAAAGGCGGATTTCTCGGGACACAATTATGCAAGCTGCTTGTTGGTGTAGGCCAGAAAACGTCGTGAATAAACTTGAGCCATTGCTCTCGTGGCCCTTTGAGAGTGAATTTAGGTTAGTGGCATGGCTCTCCTGACGATTGAGATGCCAAAGAAAGCGGGGAACTCACTCGCGGTTCGATGAATACTTCTTCTATATCTCGAGTTGTTAGAGAATATGAAACGACTGGCATGTGGTAAATGTCGTCTGTTCTGAGGTATGGACGAATCGCCGCGTAGCATCGGTTCTGGCTGGTGAGTGATAAAGACATGACGTCTTCGGCAGGCCAGTCGAGTGCGATGAAGCGGCCCAACAAGTTTCTACCGCTCTGTTCTATCCCATGTTCCTCTGAGATGGATCCCATCCTGCTCTCTCGGTCAGCCAACTGGTCACGAATTCTGGCAAGACAGACGCAAGTAGATAAGCATAGAGGTCTCACCCTATCAGATCCTCGATTCTCACATGGAAGATTGACCCCGAGAGGCTCTCGTCTTCCTGGTTCTCCACTACGAAGACCAAATTCTGTTGGTCGGTGGACATCGCCATGATGTATACTTCCGGAACTGTTGGAAGCCGAATGTGCCAACAGTTCTGTGCGCTGGAGTCGATTGCAGCCCCTTGTCCTAGGTCGAATATGTAACACTGCCAAATCGAAGGTCAGCAGCATGAGTAGTAGCTCTGGAATTAAACTTACGTTGAAGATGTTGCCCGTGGTTGTGGCAATCAGATATCTGTTAGTCACGCAAACAGCTTTCCAGAAACGGCTCGTCGATCCCAAGGACTCCAAGGAGTGCTCCCCAAATGTCTTTAGGAAATCTCCATCTGCATTCGAGACAGAGCTTGGGGTGAAGAGTGAAATCTTGCTGTCGCTCCAGTACGCAATAACGTTTCCATCTGGCGATACCTTGCAGCCCTTGAATACGTCAGAGTTGTCTCGCGGTATGCGCCATCGTTGCACTGGCTGCTCCATAGAAGACTTGGGCCTGGGAAGGGTTAGTGCTCCGTTTCGGGTGACTTCTATGATGCTCACAGCTTGACGTACTGTCTCAAAGATTCTGAAGAAGATTCGAGCCGATCAATCTCCTCATACGCGTCTAGTGTGCGTTGGAGCACATTCTCGACCTCTTTTGCGCTGCATCTCTTATTCTGATTAATCTTCAATACTTTGGACTCGAGAAAATTGAGCATGGCCCGGACGGCATGGTGTTCTTTCACGCTCCTCGCGGCAGCTTTGTGAATGAGTTGCTTGTGAGCCTTCTTGACGGCCGAGTGCAGGCAAGTCCTTCCGAAGGATCTGACGTGGAAGAAGACGTCGTAGCTTGCGTCGATGCCTCTACGGTGTTTTAGTCGGTTCGTCTCGTAGTTGTCAATGGCACTCTTGCCGCCCTCGAGATAAACGAAGAGGACGCTCAGAATGCAGCCCAGTGACCACACGTCGCTCCTCGTATTCATGACTTTACCCTCGCGGAACGACTCTGGGGGTAGATATGTCCCCTGACCGCGACGATTCTGGGTTCCCGACATCGTCCTCTGCTGCATATCGCGTCGCTTGGTGAACCATTTGGCGATATCCTTTTCCTCCTCGCGCCTGGCATGGTGCCGAATCTTGACCTTGGACATGCCAAAGTCACTCAGCTTCCAGATATAGCGAGGGCCAGTCCCATCGCCATTGCCGCTTTCTCGGAAAATGAGGACATTGCTTGGCTTCAGATCCATGTGGTAGCAGACGATCCTGTCGAGGTCAGTCGTCTGCATTTCTTCGTGAAGAAATTTGAGACCGTTGGCGAGGCCAATAGCGGATCGGATGAAGCCTGCCCTGTTGATCGCCGTCTTCGGAGCGTTCGAACCGTCTTTCTTCATGTATGCTCCCAGATCGCAGACCGCGAGCGGCATGAAGAGACTGTACGGCGCTGGGCTGGCGCCCGTTGGATATTCTATATTCAACGTCCCCAGATTCTCCATAATGTTCTCGCAAGTCTTTGACAAGTTGAGAATCGTCTTCATGATCTCGCCTTCCTCCCTGCTCTCAATATCGGAATCCGAGGACGACCTGACAATGTAGTCTTTCCGTGCCACCCATCGTTCCCTGTCATCATGTTTGCGGCGGTCTTCGAAATGCCCCTTGGCAATCTTCACTTTGTACACTCTTCCAAACGAGCCCGAGCCCAGAAGCTCCTCTTCCACGTATGGTAAACGCTGGGTATCCCCGTCTTGTATCGTAGTCTCCTCTCGCTGCCGAAGCACCACAGTACAGAACAGGGCCTGCGATCCATAGAACTTGTCCGCTGTCGCTTCGTCCCCGTCAAAGAACTCTGTCAAGCTTTGACGGTCGGCTGGTAGCGAACATACGCGGCTAGAGATCTCACAGTCCTCGGGCGGCGGCCACTCGGGAACAGCAGCTAGCTTCTCTGTGAAGTTCTTGGCTGCCTCGATACGACAGCCGGCGAATACAAGAATTGCGAGAAACTTGTGCAACTCCCTACTCTGTACATTTTCAACAAATTGGTTCTCTGTGATTGAGAATCGGCGTTCCTTGGGTGCCTCTCCGCCGATCAGGCTGCGAAAAAAGAGTCGGAGATAGTGCGGGCTCAAGACACTTTTCGGTGTCTCACGGGTGGCGAAACGTAGACTCTCGCTGTTTTTCCGCTTCAGATGCCCCAGAAACAGATTGTGAACCTCGTGGCACAAGTCAAGGTACTCATGAGATGACATGGTTCGTACCGCAAGTATCTTTTGTCATTGAAGCGGTGTTTGCATGTTCGCGAATCCCCCCTCCCGGAAAAGTTAATGTATGAGGAATCTGGTGAGTAGAATCGGTCAGGGAACGAGGAAAGTTAAGAGTGATCCTCGAGTGAACCGCCGTGTTGGATCGAGGAGGGTGACATTTCAAGTGGCGCGGCAAGAACACACATCATCTGCAGCCAGTTCATCAGGCGGCACGCAGAATAAGGCAACTGCTGACTGCGGCCATGTTGGCGCTGACCGCGTGCCGCACCCCAGCATCGCTGCCAAAGCGGTGTTTGCTTATGGCTCAAACACTCGATGTTCCGCTGTTCCGGACGCGAGGTGCGGCATTGAAAGCTAGCTGTGATTCATTGAGGTTGAACATTTGGAACCCAGACAAATGATAGCCTGCCATCTGAACTTCAATGCTCTCTGCGAATATACCGATGAGATGAAATATTGTCATGTAAGGGAATCCTGAGAGCAAGCGGCATGCAAACGTGGCATTTCGCTGATTTTCTCATTCCACTCTCAACCGCACGTACCTCTACTAAGTACGGTCATCAATGAACCTCTCAGTACCGTCTAATTCCCTTCTTTTCCTCTTGCGCCTTCTCCTGTGCCTGCGCATTAATCTCAATCGCCTCCTTCAGCTTCGCAATCACCTCAGGCTGGTTGCTAAAAGCCCTCAACAGCACCTCGTCCAACTCCTTCTCCACCTTGCCAATGGGCTTGACGCCGGGCTTCCTAGCCCTCGCATCGTTCGTCAGTCCGCCCCAGCGCTGCGTAAAGGCGACAATGGACTGCCTCAGCAGCTCATCCAGCTGCTCGCTCATGTCCTCGACCGTCAGCGTCTTGGCCGTAACGGTCGCTGCTCCCGCCCCCGCTCCTCCCGTTCCCCGGGACCATAGGGAGCCGCCAATGATGTTGCTGACGAAGCCTACCCAGTTCTGGGGGCTGAGGTTGTCCCAGATGTGACCGAAATGCTGCATGGCGGCCGTGTCGCCTCGAATGTCTCCGATTTCGAGAGAGACGAGCTCGTTTTTGATAATGAGGAGGTTCTTTACCATGAACAGATCAGCGTCCGTGCCGGCCTTGATTGATTTGATCCGCGCCTCAGCGCGTTGCAGGATCTGGATGGTTTCCCGGACGATCTTGAAAATCACTTGACTGTTCCTTTGCTGTGGGATGGTTAATCTCACTCCACATAGCCGATTTCCGGGAGCTGTCAACTTACACTTCGTTCCTTGGGCATAGCCTGGTCATACTTGGCCAAAAGCTTGAGCGCTTGCTTAACTGGGGGAAAGGCATTTGAAGAAGAAACGCCGCCGACCACTGGGCCAATAGTGAGAGCCTCATCTTTGACTGTGGCCTTGGCAATCGTCTTTGTAATTTCTGCCTCGAATGCGTTGTCTGTGAAGACCCAGAGATGTTCGGTCAAGAGCCTGGCGCTGAGTTCGCGGCACTGACGCGCAAAAGGGGATTCTTCCTCATCGTAGTCGAGGACCAGATACTCGTTGGTCAGCCAGCCGACCACACTACAGATCGTGTCGAGATCCGCAGTCTGCAACGCGGCATTGAGATTGGCGGCCAACTGGACGAGATTCGCCGGGTTGACGAGCGACCTCTGGTTAGACTTGAGGACTCCGTATGCCGACTCCGGATCAGAGCTCCATTGTAAATCCAGACCGAAGATTTTGGCGAATAGGTTGGCTTCGTTGAACGCCCGTTCGAAGCTCTGCTTGATATAATTCCTTGAAGCTGTCTCGACGGAAAGATCTTTGATCTCTTTTTTGAACTCGTCCTGGTCGTGCTGCACCATAGGCTTCAAGTCGCGGTCTCGGACGGCCAAGTAAGAGCTGAAGAGGTTACTCGTGGTATTCGAGTAGATGTCTTTGGCAATACCAGTGACTGGGAGTCCATATTCATCGTATACGCTGTTAATCACTTTGTGGATATTAGGGATTAGAGAGTAAGAATCAAGAATCATCTCCTCAAAACGCCCATACGCCAAAGCATGGCGGGTGGCCTCGGACTTGGTACCAGCAATCTGGCTCGCGATCTCGGAGGAGATGCTCTCCAGTCTATTGGTGAAGCCGACCTCAAGAAGATGGAGTGCCTTGGTTAACAAAGCCTCGTACCGTGCAAGGTAGGACTCGGCGTCACGATATGTTGTCTAGTACCTTTTGTCAACATCATATCATCGATGTCCATAATCGCAGAAATACTTACGTGTTTCGACATGAAGCCTATACAAGAATCTAGATTCCCCAAGATCTCGCCGAAAGAATCATCATCAACCAGCCGTCCAGCGCCAGGAGCATTGAGTCTCCTGGAGACATTATCAAGGTATGCGTAAAAGTGAAGATCGGTGCCGACCTCGTCTGCAAGTTTCTCGAGCCTGTGCTGTTCCGACAAAAGGTCCTCGCATTGCGACTGGAACGAACTCGTCTGGGCCTCAACTGACTGGAACGATTCAGACAGTGTCGTCAACAGCTTAAGCGCTTGATTCGTGTCATCGATGAGCATGTCGAGGTGCCGTTCGGTGAGCGTCAGCTGGTCCTTGTACAACCTGCTCTAGTGGTTAGCAAGGGCGAGTCTGGTGCGCGACTGACCCCTACTCACAGGTATTCCTGCTGACTAGCCTCAAGCAATTCCCCCTCGTACTGGCGATGAACCGGGCGAGGCCGGGTCTTGGATTCGGCAACGTCCGTCGCAATATCTAGCGCATCCCAAGTCTTTTCCTTCTTCCGCCTGCGCCTGTTGTGCTGCTCATCCTTGGCTAATTGGGCTCGAACGACGTGGTAGAAATCGGAATAGGACTTTGCGCGGCGCAAGACCTCAGCTTCCGGGGGGGTGTTGCGGTCTTCAATCTCTTCAAAAATTTCGTCGAGGGCTTCTGGTGCATTGGAAGCTTGGGGTATACCCTTTTGGTAACATCAACTGTCAGCATGTCGTCGCGGTGGTGGTGGTCATGGTGGCGGTGGTGGGGTTTTGGGAGCTGACATTGGACTGCTGCAACAGCGACTCTTTGCGACGGTGGCCTGGGCCCTGGGCAGCCGTTGTAGCTTTCTTAGCCACCTCTGGCACAAAGCTGTACCAAGAATCGTCGTACATCGTGAGCTCGCCTCAAGTCGTGAAGGGGCTTTCCGGGACTGGGGTTGAGAGTGACGGGAAGCTCTGGCGTGAAGGGGGGCCCCGATATGGCGCCGGGTCGGTGTTCCCACCACCGCTCCAAACGGGACAGCTCAGCTCCCTTGGGCGTAAACTGGGCGGAAAATCATTGGCCCCAACTGCGAACGGCTGGAGCTCAGAGGTACAAAGTGGGGCCCGCATGTTCACCCGCAGCGGGGCGCACGGTCCCTGCACCGGCAAGGGTCCGGGAAAGTCTGCTGCGCAGTTTAAGCTAAGTCCTGAGCGAATCGAAGTTTTAGTTTTCGTTGATGACCTCACGACCTGTAAGCGACTACACCTCACCTCACTTCACTTCCTCAACCCAAGGGCCCTTCCTTCTCATTTCATTGGAATTCTTTACTTAATGCTTTCATCATCCCAAAAATAACTATACTCACACCATTCTGTCCAATCAACTCTCGTAAGCCCGAAAATGAAGGCTTACAGGGCAGCTGCACGCAACGCAGGCACTTCTCTTACAGCCCAGAGATGCGCTGCCGTGGCTCGTCGCTATGCCAGCTCCGGACCTCGCCGGGCTGGTGACAGGTCGGGCATGGGCAAGGGCAAGGCATTGCTTCTGACTGCAGGAACTGCTGGTGCTCTGTACTACGCCGACGACTACTTCAACGGACCCCTGAAGCAATACTTTGGCTCCGAGGTTGAGAAGGAATCACCTGACGCGCGGAAGCCAAAGTACCAAAAGGCCGAGATCAAGTTTGAGGAAGCGAGGAAGGCGGCCCAGTCAAAGGAGGAGAACCGTGACCTCATCAGCTCGCAGCATCTCCAGGTCAAGCAGAGCTGGGAGAACCCGGGCGTATATGCCTGGGGAAGCAACGTGGGCAAAGTGATTGACCCGCAGTCCAAGGAGACTCTCGTCAAGCTGCCGAGACGGATCAAGTATTTTGATGGCCAGCTGCTGAGGGATATCAAACTGTGTCAAGACTTTGGCGCTGCTGTCACGGAGAAGGGTGATCTCGTGCAATGGGGCCTGGGCTTCTCGAATACTGACCCTTCGCCCGTCGAGACGCTCAAGGGCAAAGACATTTCCAAGATTTCCATTTCCAACGACCGCATCATCGCACTCACCTCCAGCGGATCGGTTTACTCAGTTCCGGCATCAAAGACTGGCCTCACAGCGGGAAAACCGCTACAGCAGCCTCAGCAATCATCATCATCATCGTCATCCTGGATCCCCTTTTGGAGCTCGCCAGAGTCCCAGTCCGTCAAGGCCAGAGACCTGACCCCCAAGAACCTCGCCTGGGGTGAGAAAGTCACAGACATCAGCAGCGGCCTCCAGCACAGCCTTCTCCTCACCTCAAAGGGCCGCGTCTTCTCCGCGGCCTCTAGCACAGCAGAGTACCCATCCAAGGGCCAGATGGGCATCCCCGGTCTGAGCTGGACGTCCCGCCCGGCCGGACCCTTCGACCAACCCCAGGAGATCACCGGCCTCTCGGGCTTCGCCATCGCCAAGATCGCCGCCGGCGACTTCCACTCCGCCGCTCTCGACAAGGACGGCAAGCTCTTCACCTTTGGTGACAACACGTACGGCCAGCTCGGCCTGCCGGCGGACCAGGGCTACCAAAGAGTCGACGTCCCCTCCCTCCTCCCCACCGCCAAACTCTACGCCAACACGGGCCTCGTTCCCAAAATTACGTCAATCTCCGCCGGCGGCAACAACACCTTCTTCACCGTGGACGCCACGGAAGCCGTCAGCGAGAACCCGTTTGCACCAGCAGCATCAGTCACCGGCGACATCGCCCCCGCCCGCCGCATGCCGCGCGTCACGGCCGACTTCTGGGCCTGCGGCCAAGGCGTCTACGGGTCCCTAGGCACCGGCAAGTGGACGCACGTAACTCCCGGCCCAGCCAAGGTGAAGGCCCTCTCCTCGCTCTTCGAGTTCGACGAAAAGGCCAACCGCATGGCGCCCATCCGCCTCGCCAACGTCTCTGTCGGCGCGACGCACGTCTCGGCGACCATGGATAACGTCACGCGGACGGGCGCCACGACGCGGTCCTCGGACAACGACACCAACTGGGGCGCCGACGTGCTCTTCTGGGGCGGCAACGAGCACTACCAGCTCGGCACGGGCAAGCGCAGCAACCTCAACGCGCCGGCTTACATTGGCGCCCTGGACGGCGGGATAGGGGACGCCGTCAACGGTCGCGGGGGTGAGGTGCACCGGTTCCAGCTCACGCCGCGGCAGACGGTCCGGCTGGGTAAGGACGGCAAGGGCAGGAAGGTTAGTCTGGAGCAGAGGGTGGAGTGTGGGCGGTTCGTGACGGCCGCGTATTCTGCTGTTTGAAGAGGCTCTTTGGGGTAGGGAGAACGACGAAATGGACTTGAAATGGGCGGCTTTTATGGCATGTTTCATGACTTTGGGCCGGGCGTCGTCGTCGTCTCTTAACTCGGCTGCCAAAGCACGAAAGAGAGAGAGAGGCGCGACGAATTGTACTATTAGGTATAGGGGGAGCTTTCACAGCTTGTAAGGATATTAAACCTTGTAATTACAACTATAGGACGGGGGGAAGCATGGAGAAAGCTCTGAGGCTTTCTCGGAGACCATGTTCGATTCACCCACGGAGTACCTCGTCGATATATCGGAGAGATTCTATCCCCCGTATCGAAACGCGCCAGCAATCTTGGCAAGGAATTCAACTCATACTTTATCGCAATCTTCTGACAAGCTGACCTACGTGTGCCTCGATCCATGCGTTGTGAACCCGGGGTTTTGCCGGTTGTCAAGTGTTTCTCTTGCTTCTTTTTGTCTAGCGCGGGATGGTGAATCATCTGAAGTCTGGCCTGTGTCTTGGCAGGTGGTTTTGAACCATAAAGGAAAAAAAAAAAGGGGTGACCGCTTCTCAGGTTTCCGTTTTATCGAGAGACGTCTATCTACCTGTCCGATTCGCGAGAGTGGAAAAGAAACCCCCCCCCCCCCCAAAAAAAAAAAACCAAAAAAAAAAAAAAAAACCCGGTCGGGGTTGCTGGTCAGACGCTGCAGATTAAGGCAGGTATTTCAGTCTGTGTTATCCGAGAATCCGTATCCATGTCATATTCACACACACTCTCATACATACATACATACGTACGTAGTGGTCGTAGTAATTGTGGCCGTCGACCCTATGTACTTTGACGCGCGTTACCTGTCAAACATGGGGGAGTGGTCTATCGGATACACTCCGGCGGCGTAAGAGAAACTCTGCCGGAAAGCTGAGATGACGGCTGTCCCAAGCAGGCGTGTCGTAGGTAGTGGTGTACTACACTTACCTCAATAGCCGGGGCTTGGCAACGCCGGCTTGGGAAGTGACGGGTTTTCTCCCATCAGTCACGGAGGAAGTTCTACCCCGAACGGACATTTTCCAGAAGGTCTTGGTTCGATTCAGGTTATGACTCGATTGAGGATTTACTTGGCCTTGATCCCGTTAACCTTAGGTACTCAGCTGAACAAGAGCGACGCTCAATACGTCGAAAAAGATGGATTACCAACAACGTTTACCTAGTTAGGAAATGCTCACAGCTAAACTTAGTACCTTGCCTCGTACGGGCCAATAACCCGGATGCAACGCAACGGCATGACTCTCTCTCTCTCTCTCTCACTCTTCCTCCAACAGCTGAACACGAAGTGTCGGCAAACCCCCGAACCAACACAATCCCGCACACGCACAGCGGGAGAGACGGGAGCGGGGAGGGGTGCACGTTAGTCGTCAGCTGAGGCGGGCGGCGGGCCATTACGATCTATCATCCCGTAGCGCCTTCCAGAACAACGCTAGAGAGAAATGCGACGTGCCTGACTCTGACATGCCCAACGGCCAAGAAGGGTTGGGGGGGGGGGGGGGGGCTACGCTACGCTACTAAGTTGCTGCAGCTGGCCTGCAGTAGCAAGCGTGGCAAGTAACGGTTTTTTGGTGCTACTCAGCAATCCGTATTGACTCTCTTCAACGAACTTGCGTTAGCCGGTGGAGAGTTGGGCAACGCATGGAGAGGTAGGTACTGCGCAGGGAGGTGTATCCGTACAGATACGTGTGCGCATCAGGCATCTACCTTATCTGTAAGGTACGGGCCACTGATTCGATAGCGCGTCCAGGTGATCGGCAGAAGTCTCAAACTCTAGAAACCAGATATCGTCGGGCGCAGGCCGGGCGAATGGGACGATCCGAGAATGGGTCCCGATATTTCCAATAAGCGCGCCTCTTACAACTAGGTTCTACAAGACAGGTAAGGTTTTGCCTAGTCGTCTAGGTATTCAGCGACAGCGGCCTTCAGTCGTCATGGGAGGAAACGTAGACTCGCTGGCTCGGAAGCTTAATTCTCTTTTGTATTGAAAAAGACTCAGACAGCTGGACGTTCACCGCAGTCCCTGGGCAATACGGCAGCGGTGATAGAAGACGTCGTGAGTAACGTGGCTAAACGGAATTGCCGACGTTGTAACCGTTCAAAACTTGCGTGGCCCCCCTTTCCGTTTCGAAGCGCGGTTCGAACCTGCCAGGAACCTTGACTCAAAGACAAGAACCTGCTGGGTTCCTGGCCTTGCTTTCCATTGCCTGGGAAGGTGGTACGGTGGAACGGTGGCAGCAGCCTCAACAGCGGGCAGGGCAGGCACGCCGCAACGCAGGCAGCGTGTGCAGCGGTGCTTCCAGTTCCTCGGGACGCGGCGGCAGGGCGGGAGGCTAAGGCAAAAGAAAACAGTGGATCATCGATGCTCCTAGGTCTCTCTTTCCATTCACGCAGGCGGAAGGGACAGGGGCAAGGGACCCCGCCCCGCCTTCCAGAATGAATACTTTAGTATAAGCCTATAAGGTAACTACTTCCATTGTAAGGTAAGGTACCTTAGCCTGTAAGGTAGGTACGTATCCGCAAAATCCATTGGCCTCCCGAGGATTCGGCGGACCAAGAAGCCGTGCACTGGCTGCACTGCCCGAGATTGCAGAACATGGGCAAACGTTCCAATGTTCGATCCAGATGTCGTCCATCCCCTGCTCTGCTGCCACCCCCTGTTACAATGGCGACTTTGCATCGCCGGTTCGACCTTTGATCCATGGAACGTTGATTCGGCTTCGATTCGTCTCGCCCAATCGATGCCCTCCCCCCCCGTCGTGCCTTCACTCGGCGCGGAAACAGAGCGTTGCAACGAGTGAGTGGGCTTTACCTCCCTTCTTTTCTTTTTTCCTTTACGCAGGAGGACTCGAGGGAATTTCCTAACATCTGGACAGTCTTGCCGCGACCTCCTATTCTTTCTGCTAAGGACGGTGCGTTTGTGAGTCTGTAAGGACGGCGTATGTACGCCTCATCTTGACACCTCTCCCCATGGTCTCTCACAGGTCCTCTGCCACTTTGCTTAGCTGCTAGCCTTAGCCGTCTGCCGCTTCCAGGTTGCTTATTTGCGGTTCCGCCGTGGGGTGGGACACTTGGACTAGGTTCGCTCCCAGTTCCCGGGGAACCGACAAGGGAGAAATAAAGAAAGAGAGGGAGAGAGAGAGAGAGAGAGAGACCGCATCTTCGTTTTGGTACCCGTAATCCGAACGGATACCCGCCTTTTTTATTATTACAATCAAAATTTCTACCTTCTTCTCATCGTGGCAATTTCCTCTTCCGAGCCCTCCTCGGGTAACGGGTTCTCATGTTTCCATCTACCTTAGTACTCTGTATCTCTCTTCCCTTTTTCTTTCTTTCTTACTCGTCTCTCAAGTCTGTTCAAAAGATACCTACTACTACAGTACTACTACTGCACTTTGATCTCTCAAAAGGTTGAAAGGACCACGCTACCCTGCATTTCTGCCCATCTGGCATCTCCTGACGGGCATCCTTCGGCACGTGCCTCCCGAGAGTGACACAACCAAACTCGGACTCGTGACGCACGAACTTTCCCACTCCCCCTCAGAGGTCCATCCATGCGACCACTTTAGATCGCCAGGAACGACACTTTTCATCTTTAGTTTCGCTCCGTTCCGTTCTCTCTTTCTTTACCAGCCAGCACCACCACTGCTACTACCACTTTATTATTACCTCATCTACCTTACTAGTACCTTCTTCCCCTTCTTCATCTTCAGCTCCATACTCCGTACTGCTGGTTTAATTATCACGACGCCCAACGCAAGCCCGACTCCTCCTCACAACAAAACTTCCATCCTTCACCCAGACAGCCACCCCTCTCTTTCTCACCCTCTCACACAGTCTCTCTGACTCTTACTCTCTCACACGTGTACAAACTCACACACCTTACACGCACGCGCACACACGTCCATCCCCTTTTAGACGACACAAGCCAACCAACAGAAAGGACGGAATTCCCGTTAATACTCCGAACGTCTTACCCCAACCCGCGCTTAAAAGCTGCTGGGCCGCTTGCTTGTTGCTTGTTACTTGCTACTTGCTGCAGCTGCCCGACCTGCTGGGCCGCCCCCGAATTCCAAAAAAAGAAAGACCTTCCTGCAGGGTGCCCGCCGTGTGCCGCCCTTCGCCCGCGCCCTGCCTGCCAGAAAAACCCTGACGACATTCCTGCCTACCTCACAGGCTCACGACCACAGTACATAACCAACCCGAACCCTTTACGCCACGCCCCCAAGCCGGCCGCCGCAAAACCACCACTTTACGCTCGTCAGCCTCACTGTCGCGTAAACGTACTCCCTTCTTGTCGCCTTGCGTCTCGTCGCTTTCCTATCGCCGCATCCGACTCGTCCACTTCGCTTCACCTGACGCTCCTTTACCACATCTCGTACTACGGTAGCTAGGTTCAAGATGGACCACCTCCCCAAGTTTCGCAGAAAGCCAAAGATCCCGACAATCTCCACCGCAGACGTTAAGACCTCTCCCTCCCGAAACGGTATCGACGAACAACAGCCGCCTCAGCAAATATACCCCTCCACAACCGTCACCGTCACCGGCGGCCGATCCCCCACCCCGACCAAGCCCGGCCTGCGCAAGTCCGCTTTCCGCGGTCTACACCTGCGCAGCTCAGGCAAACGTTTACGATCCCCTCCTCCGGCCTCCCTGCCGCAGTCGCCGCCCCCCGCGATCGTCTCCCACGACGGAATCACTTCGTCCCCGAGGCCAAAAGATAAGGATGGCAGTGGTGGTGGCGTTGGCGCTGGCAGCAAGGACGACTTGGCCTCGTCCGGGAAGAGCAGCCACGAAAGTTTCAGGCCCAAGCCGAGAATACCGGCCTTCCTGAACCTTTCCGTACCAGGTACGAAACCTCCGTCTCGTCGCAGACTGGGAGGCGCGGGTCGGGAACTAACTGCTGGGATCCCTGCAGATTTAGACAATAAGTTCCAGGAGCTTGTATGGCAGGAACGCAACCGTCTGGCTGCCGGCATGGCTCCCGACGCTGACGAGACCACGAAATGGGGCTCTTACAAGCAGGTTGACATGCGCAGAGGCCCGCAAGATCGCTACTTCAACATCAAGCCCTGGAACCACAACCGCATAAAACTACGCGTGCCCGCAGAAGAGCTCGACTACGTCAACGCCTCTACGATATCCCTCTCTTCTCCCTCGAATAAGGAGCTCCCTCCCTTACGCTACATCGCGATGCAGGGTCCGACAGAGAACTCCCTAGACTTTGTCTGGCGCATGATTGCAGAGCAGCTCACAGATCCCGTCGTTATCGTACAGCTCACCAGCTTCTACGAAAACAACCAGGTGAAATGCTATCCTTACCTGCCAATGGACGAGGAGCACGAGCCCTGGGTCATCAACGAGACCGACGGTTGGAGCGACGGCTGGAGTGCTACGCTGACCTTTGACTCTCTCCTGTCCCTGGAGAACGGCGCCATCGAGGTGCGCAAGCTCCTGCTGCGCGTAGGCGACGAGGAAGAGGATCGCATTGTCTGGCACCTACTCTACACCAAATGGCCCGACTTTGGAGTCCCCGCCGTCGACGACCTGTCCAGCTTTTTCACGCTTATGCGTCTGTCGCGCGAGTACAACACGACCTCAGAGAACCCGCGCATCATCCACTGCAGCGCGGGTGTAGGACGAACAGGCACTTTTATCACTCTGGAGCATCTGATGCGCGAGCTCGATGAGGGTGCGCTCGACGACTACGACGGTGCCGGCGAGGGTGACGACCTCATCTTTGCGACCGTCGATGCCCTTCGCGAGCAGCGCCGCAGCATGGTCCAGGCTGAGTCGCAGTACTTATTCCTATACCAGGTGCTGCGCAAGCTGTGGCAGGAAAAGTATGATGTCGAGGACAGTGACGGAGACAGCGAGCCCGCAGCTAAGAGGCTGGAGGTTGAGGACTCGTCGACCGATTGAGTGACGTACGCCGGAAAGGACACAAATCCAAATGATTTCGCATATCCTTGAGTCTCTTGTTTGCTTCACTTGAAGAAAATGGAAGACCACAGGATTAACGGCCGGGGATGAAGTACGGAGATACCCCTTTTTTCTTCTTATGGAAAGGTTGAAAGGACATAAACAACTATGATTTAATCGGCAGACTGTGGCGGCATAGCATGTGTAATTTCGATAACTTGTATACCAAAGCAAGCAACAGCATTACCGGGCGTTATGATTTGGGAGCAACAGGGAAAGGGGGGCCAGCATTGACTGGGCATGAGGGAGCAAGCATACATGCGCGGTGATGGAAATTGTAGGAGTATTCTGAGGCGATGAGGGAGGTTCATGATTCCGGGTCATAGCAAACGGCTCAAGGTTGACGAAGCCTCGAGGGCAGAAGAGGTCCAAGATGGACTTTGAATTATTGTGGTATCTCCGTGACGAGAAGGAAAGAGATATAATAGGAGTTAGTTGCGGTTCGCGTGGGCCCCCGTCCGCCTAGAGCGGACCAGATGGCTGCCCATGAAATACACATTAACCCTCCCTCTATAAGAGCATGAAAGGGGGGCAAATCATCATGAAAGAAACTATTGCATAGACTTCTTATTGTAGTTCACGGCTGGAAGCTGTTGTTTTTCCGTCTCCCATTCTTTTCACCATCTAGGCGTCATTCTCTCCTCCGCCCAAAGACTAATAATGGATTGCTCAACATAGCTTTGTAATGCGCAAAGGGCAGAAGAATGCTACTTCCCCGTCTAGGAAGTATATTTCATGCAACACCTTTGATATCTTGCCCCTGTTAGCCTCTTGATATTTTCAGGCCAGCGAAAAAAACCAAAATTTGTTACTTAATGACATGGGTGACATAAGATAACCTTTAACTACCTGACTGAAGCACAAACTAAAGTAAAGAAGGGGTACAGCTCGACCAAGCTTCTCTCATATCTCGGCGGTAAAGGTCTATTCCAATACGCTGATTTATGAAAGCTTACCTCACCTAACCCCCTTTCACCAACCACAAAAAGGCAATTCTTACCAACCGGTAGGATCCGAATGGAGGGACAGAGAGAAGAGAAAGGACGGGGAAGGAAAGGGGGGGGGGGGGGGCAACATGAATTCTTCAACGAAAAAAGCGGGCGGTCGACCGCTATCACCTTCGATTCCTGGCGCTTCTGATGTTCCCTGTTTTATGATGGCTCATATTTCCACGGAATCGGCCTTTTTTTTCCCGCAAGAAGAGAGGTGGATGGACGGGTGGGCCGGGGGTTAGGTGATGTGATTAGTATTAAGGACAACGACGACGACTGTTGACATACTTTGTATCCCCGGGTTGGCGCCATGGCCCCCGAATCCGAGGCTTAGAATAGGCATCAATCAGCATGGCTGCTACATTTCCAAGGCGAAGAGGGAAGAGAGAGCCAACATGATAATGTCGGACCGACTTCAGACTTACCTACACTCGGTCGGCAAAAGACCTCGGGATACGATAGGAATCCTTCGCTCCCTGCCTTCCCCTTAGTGAAGAAGCGGCGTTGGTGAACGGCCAAAACTCAAAATCACGTTTCTTCTTGTCCCCGGTGTCGATAGCGGGGCGCTCTGCGCCCGTTTACGCCTTCATCGACAATTCGACATGGCATGTCACCGTCACATGGGGGGAAGGGAAGCGGGCGGGAACGAAATCCTTCCCCCATCGTGCTGACCGGTTCCGGGGACTCCCGTCTCGGTGTGAGATTTCGAACCGGGGTTGTTGGTCAGCAGCCCTCCTCTTTCCCGCGCCCGGGGTTGGTCGTGGGACGGCACAGTGGTAAAGGAGGGTGGAGGGGCGGCGGCCGTCTCTGCGTCTCTGGGGTACCGGTATTGAAAGGGAGTTTTCGCGAAGGGAAAGATGGGCATGGTCCAATCCGAGCATGTGCTCGCCAAAATCGTCGTCGTCTTTTGAGATATGGAGTACGGAGTACAACGTACAGGCATTAAAGATGACGGCGCGCTCAGCGAGCGGGTGAGGCCGCGCTCGATCTTTACCCCATGCCTCCATGTGATAGTGACGGGAGAAATTAAGATTATGCCAGCCAGTCAGAGTGTAATGGTCCACGAGACCGTCAAGGCAGCATGTTGAAGTACCCAGCCAACATCGGCCAAAAATCAGCTTCATCGGTTAATGTTTCGATACTGGTAGAGTATGGATGTCGTTTGTCCACAAAATTCCAGTGAGTAAACCCAACAGTCCGAACTTCTGTTCTCGTGATGAATTGCAAGGGGAAAGAGTGACCGGATAAATTGAGGCCCATAAACGAAGCGGGCTCGCGGGATTGGGAATCCTTGTCTCCTGCAACGGTGGGTGATGAGACCCTTGTTAGACTTAGCTGGGCTAAGGTCCGGTCACCGGAAGTGAAGCGAAAAATGAACCAGATATGAACATGCTCGGTGAACGTACGTCGAAGGCTTGCTACCGAGCACCGAGTACCATCCTCCCCGGCGTGCGTTGGCTTTGGTGAAGACCATTCGTAGCCCCGGCTGGTGGTCAATTATAAGTATCTCTCGGCCGGTTTTGATGGACACAAGTGGAAAAGATGAGATGAAGGATGGCTTGGATGATCCGATGTGGACCTCGGAAGTGTGGACGATGGAGGCATTTCGGACCGGCGCGGCTAATTGAGGGCCGGTTTGTCTTGGTATTCCCGGGGTGTCGTTGTGACCAGGTCGCCGTGCTTGTTGGAGGCTGGAAACACATCGATTACATTTGGATCCCCCGCTGTCTCTTATGGCACTGAAGCATAGGAAACCACTTGTTTCTGAGGGCGTAAGATTGCAACTTTCAGAATATTCGCATGCTGCTTTGGCCCCCCCCCCCCCTCTCCCCCCGGCAGTTGTGTAACCGTCGTGGGAACCTTCGCTTCTTCTTGAAAAGATGGTGACTGCTAGCGCATTCCGTCAGCCTTTGAAAGTGACCAACACCTTGAGAAAGATTCGAAGAATATAAGCTATAGTGCAGTGATATCCTGTGCCGTTGTTACACGGCAGAAAAGCACGGAGCATGTCGGGCTACTTGATGCGAGGTGCAGCGCAACTCATCACAAGTTACGAGTTACAGCGGTAGGGTGGTGGGGAGACAAGACGAACCAGCAAATGAGCGGCCCTTTGGAAAACCCCAGATCCAAATATGCAGCCGGGGCACGGAAGCACGAGTTGGAGGGCGCAGCCGGCTGTTCTCTTTTGCCCGCTGCGGTTCAGCCAGCGCGCTGCGCATGTACGAGACAGTCGGCATACTTCCTACAGCTTGCAAACAACACCACAGAGGTCCAGTTCTGGGAATGATGATGTCGGGAATGCTACCGTCATGTGCAGGTTGACGTCCAGTCGCATGCGCCCTCAAACCAGCGTGGTATGGACCATCCGGAGATGTCTGTGCGTTTTCCTTCGCTCATGACTGGCATAGAACGGCGCCGGTACGCTCACCGAAGCGTGGGCCTGACACATGGTAGCGGCGCATTGAGAGCTGCAAGGTTAGACGGCCACACCAGCCAGAACGAGCATCTCTCCCGTTGAGGACCGAGAGCGAGTCGATCTCCTTAACCCCGGGCTGGCTAGACGCTGCCATGCTTAGTGGCTTACACTACATGCTACTCCCGGCTGCTGCTCTGAAAAGCGAGTCTCTTGTAAGACTATCATCATCGTGACAGGCTGCGGCCTGAAAGAAGATGGGCAGGCGTAGAAAAAGCCAAAACGAGAGCAGAAGAGCAGGGCAAGTTCCGATTGAAGCAGTGTTTGCGTGTGTGTCAAAATCTCGTACCTGTTTGAGGGTGTCCCGGTAGTGAAGATAGTGACAGTCTTTCGATGCCTACCATAAGTCTCTTTGAATCCTTAATTCCGGATCACGGACGACACTTTCCGCGAGGGCCGGATCATAGAGCTTGAGCTCAGTCAGGCCAAGCGCTCAAGCGTCGCGCAGGTTTTGTAACTTAGCCCTTGCCGCGGCGGGGCCACGGAAGCTTTCCCCAGACAACTCAATATACAAAAATCAAGGTCAGCGGAAGGTTTGAGCGGTGGACATGACAGCAGAGGTGTGTGAGTGAATGTGTGTGTGTGGATGCAGGCTGATGATGGTATGGGTGAGATGAGTTGGCCCAACGGGCGGCAGTCGGAACCAGAAGCGAGGCTGTATTGGGACAAGAGGAGGGCAAGGCTCCATACGGCAGGGGTAGTTGGTCGTCTGGAGAGAGGCCACGATCCGTGATGCAGGTTGCGAGATGTCTTGGATGGGTGGTGTTGAAGTGAGGCCAAGTTGAGCGGTGAGACGACGTGTAATGAGGGAGTGTAGAAGCAAGTCAGAGAGACGATGGGATGAGATCGAGTCGGGACCATTTCTGTCAGTTGTCTGATAATCTGATTTGCGGATAAGAGAAAGCATGAAGTCGAGATAAGCGGTCCAACTACGACTTGTCCGGCAGCGCAGGTGAGGGGATCCGGGGAAAGGTAATTGCAGTGAACTCACAGCTGCGAAAGGCATGTGTCGAGTCTGAGCGTTACTTTCCGACTAGCCGGAAGACTTTCTAAATCTCTCGAATGTTGCTGAATCCACCAGGTTTTTGCGGCGTTATCTATGGTTGTAATAGCGAGCAGCCGGATGCGGATAAGATTTGGAGTAGCAGAGTGGTTTGTGATTGTACTAAAAGTGATTGGAGGGTTGCAGAGATGGGTGAAGAACCGGGACATGGCGATGTTGGAAAAACTAGAGAGATCCCGGCCCAAAGCGACGTCGCAGCTCAGCTGAGCTGATGATATGTCTGCCATGTAAGCCCACCCCAAAGTAAGCGGTGACGAGGGTGTTGAGGCTCCAATGCACGTCTACACCGCCGTAGCAGTATGCGGTATGACGGAGACTGCCATTATACGCAGAGACCGTGTCGTTTACTCTCCTAAGCTCAACGACACAACACGTATTCTTTTGTTTCCATGGGTGGTCCAAGTCTTCGTCC